CCACGTCTATCTCTCATGGAGCGGAGGCAGGACTTGCGACGCTGAAAAGGCCCGAGCGGCAGCCGGCCCCCGAGGCCCAGACAGCTCGCGCTCCTTCGCCGCGGCGTGGGCGCTCGCGTCGGCGACCGCGCTCTTCTGCCCGCGCCGAGGTCGAACGTTGGCGGGGCGCGACAACGCCCGAGAGAACTCCTCGACTTCGCGCCGCTGCATCGACTCCCAACGGCAGCACTCGGACGGGACCGAAAACGAACGGCAATCGCGAGGGGCGGAGCCTCGCCCGCCTCCTCCGCGAGCACGGGCAAGGGCACGGGCCACGGGCAAGGGCACGGGCCGCGGGCAGCAGGAGGAGGAGGAGAGGGAGGAGGAGGAGGAGGAGGAGGAGGAGGAGGAGGAGGAGGGAGGAGGAGGAGGAGGAGGAGGGAGGAGGAGGAGGAGGAGGAGGAGGAGGAGGAGGAGGAGGAGGAGGAGGAGGAGGAGGAGGAGGAGGGAGGAGGAGGAGGAGAGGAGGAGGAGGGGAGGAGGAGGAGGAGGAGGAGGAGGAGGAGGAGGAGGGAGGGAGGAGGAGGAGGAGGAGGAGGAGGGGAAGGGGAGGATAATGATGATGCTCGCGCGCTTCTTTTTGATTGGCCACGGGCCCTGGAGCTCGGCTTGGTGTGTTGGCGCGCCTCGCGGCTTCACGCGCGCGATGTCTTCGGGCCCGAGAGCGGCCTCCGCGGGGCCTCAGGAAGGCTGGTCTTATTTTACCAGCCTGGAACATACCCCTATCCCTATGCTGGGCACCTCCGCATCACGATGCCAATCTTAGGGATGCCCTTATTTTTTGATGGCGAATCCCTAAGATTGTCATCGCGTTTTGGCGGGTCAATCTTAGGGATAGGGATACGTTCGAGGCGGGTAATTATTGAGTTAAGCGGGGATCTCACATACAGGAATCTTGGACCTGGCAGTGCACCTCGGCGCACTCAGCCCCCTTCCGCCGCCTGCAGGGCGAGCCGAGAGCCCGAGCATTGCGTTCCGTGATGCGCATGTTCTTCGCCGAAGGTCCCGCGGCTCGATCGAAGCCGTCGAAATAAAGCCTGCCCGATCGCCGAACGGAGACAACCTGGCCCTGACAATCAATTTTTCGCGCGAGCGGGCCCTGGAGGATTTCGACAAGACTTCGACAAACAGAATGGACAATTCTGGCCACGTGGCCAGTGGTCTTGATGCGACCGCCGCTGGTGCTCATCCTGCCGGCCCCCTTCTCAGAGCAATCGCGGTCCCCGCCACATGCCCCAGTGGCGCGGGCATAGCTAGGCCTTGCGGTAGCTGGCATTATGAGCTGTTACTTCTGCTGCGTCTGTAAAAGCTCGGGGTCGAGGTAGAGGTTGGAGAACGCCACCCCTGCACCGAAGAAGAAGAAGAAGAAGAAGCAGAAGCGCCCGGGAACATTCTCGCTGCTTGAGATGGAAGAACAGCGCATCGCCAACCTGCCACGCACGGTGACCAAAGACAACGCCACCCGCCTCCGAGGAACAAGAAGTCCTGTGAATCCTAAGGTTGGGGACCGACTTTGCAACTCTCACATGCCACCGTGGGCCCCGTGATAATCTCGAACAACCAAGGCTTCGAGATGGCGCGTTCTGTGCCTCAAGTGGCCTAACTTCCTGGACCGAAGCTCGCGGGGTGCTTGAAGACTTCCGCATGGCGAGTGGGCGCCCCGCGGGCAGATCGAGCGCGGGCACGTGGCGAGGGAAAACGGGGAAGGAAGGCTGAGCCTGCGCAAGGCCCTCGGGAGGCTGGGAACTAACTTGGCTGGGAGATTCTGAACTCTGTAGGCCTATTTTCCCGTCGTGGGGCACCGCGCCTTGCGGCCCGCTGGCCAGTCGCAGAACGAGGTGCCTCGCGTCAACTGCTGGCGCCGCCGACACCCCGCACAAACGAAGATTGTGGGGCTTGATATCGTACATGAGCGTCAGCGTCTTAGCCGGCCTTAGTTGAAGCGTGCATGTCTGCGACGTCGCGTGGGGTGACGTTTCAGTACTGCAATTTCTCTTCCCGGTTCGTCACTGCTGAAATGAGGCCCAGGAAACCATCGCAACCGAGCCTGAGATTGGCAAAATGCCCCCCGCCAATTTTCGTTAGGCCGACCGTGCCAACCCAGACAACGTAGGCTGCGTGCTGGCGCTGCCTCGCGTGCGTAGAAAGGTCCGGCCTGTCTTTGATGACGTAATTATGCTGCGCCCGGGGGTCATTCCAATCGATGTTCAAATCAGCAACTAGACTACCGAATCTGCTGACGAGCTCCTCAGATTGAAAGGCGACAAGAGTAGGACGTGACAGCCCTGGAGATGGTGACGGCGATCTGCGGGAGAACCTCGTGGGGGATCTTGGGGGCGACGGTGGTCTCCCACTGGGTTGCCTCTGGGCCAGAATGAGCGAGCGGGGGAATGTGCCGATCCACCTCTTGCAGCGGCCCTGGGGACATGCCGACGACATGAAAACGACACCACCACGCTGCCGATGCTGCTGTTGGTGATGATGCTGAAGATGTGCTTGCACGTATGAGGGTTCTTGCTGATGTGGGGAATTGGAGTGGGCCAAGATGTCGCTGATCTTGGATTTGGCTGTCTCGGCTATGACCTCATGTAGCTGCGTCTCCATGGTCGTGCGATTGTTATCCATATCGATGGGCCTCTCGTTGGTCTTCCTGACGTGTTCATCACGCTGGGTGGGCGCCGAACGAACTTGGTGGATCTCCTGCTGCATTGTGTGCTCAAGGCGGGCGATGGAAGAAACATTATCGCGGACGGAGCTCTTGAGCTGGTTGAGCCAAGAAGGCGCCTCCTATGGCGGACCTGATGATGGCAAGATGGGCGCGTCTGTCCCGCCAATCGGTAAGCTGTCGGAGATGAGGGGCTTCTCAATGGATGCGGGACTGCGATCATCCTCCCGGGAATCACGACTGTGATCACGGTGGCGATGGTGTGGGTGGCGCCCGTGCATTTCGCGGTGGCGACCCTGGGATTCGCCCATCTCGGACAACTCAGGTTGCTTGGCGGACTCCATCCGACCACGCCTCTGGTCCCCATGCTTCTTGGCCCCCTCGGCTCCCATTTGGTCGACGGGCGAGGCTGGGGTGCTTCTCGCAATTTTCCTGCCGTCGCCCGTGACTACAGGAAGCGGATGGCTCGCTTCTTACCCGCACACGTGGGTTCCCGAGGGAGAAGCAAGCGTGACTCACGGCCGCTGGGCAGCTCACCGCAAGGGCCGTGTAGGAAACGTAAAACGTCTGTAGCCAAGCCTCGGGAAAGAGGTATCCACTCTGGCCCCTGGGGAGCCATGGGTCCTGAGCCAACATGGCAACGGTGGAAAAAGGGGAAGAGGAGCAGGAGGTGCACGAGGAGGAGGAGGCGACTCGGCTCGGCCCGCCGTGTGGAGCCGTCCCCGCAGCGCTCCCCGGAGACCACTCGCCGGTGCAGAGAGGGTGCCCGTAGCGGTGGCTGCCGGCCGGAGTGGCCCCACCGCCGAGAAAGCCCATCGTTGAGCAGGGACCGACCGTCCGGCATTCCTAGAGTCATACCACGACATGTTCGTAGAACCCAAAAATGTTCGGAGAACAAAAACAGTGTTCTTAGGACATAAACCCGATGTGTGAAAACAAAACAGTCCCGGCCCGAAATGTTCTCAGAACATCTCGCGGGAGCCAAAAAAGGTTCTCAGAACATTGTTTTTGGTGGGGCGATAGGCGAGCCGGGACGCCTCGCCAATGCTTGACATCGGGGCGCAGGCCCTGCCCGAGGAGGAGGAGGAGGTGGAGGAGGAGGAGGAGAAGGAGGAAGAGGAGGAGGAGGAGGAGGAGGAGGAGGAGGAGGTGGGAGGAGGAGGAGGAGGAGGAGGAGGAGGAGGAGGAGGAGGCCTTCCCCCGGCCGAGGCGCGTGGCAGCCGTCGCAGCTCGCAGCGGCGTGCGCGCCGCAGTGCGGCCGCGGTGCGGAGGTCCCGCGGCAGGAGGCGCG